GACAGGCATTTGTGTCTTAATGGACCTGATATCAGCGGCAGCCTTAACTCCTACTGCTAAATGGGCCATTGAAAGGACAATACTCAATTGGGTCATTAGGAGTTCATCAAATAATTGGCCCCATTCATTTAACTAATACTTTTCAGCATTTATTTCACTTTATTATTTCTTTAACATCATAAAACGTGGCATTCCATCATCCAACAATCTAAAAATATCCACAATCGTATGATATTATCCACTTTGACCCCAAAAGGCTTTGTTTATAAAGACCATGATCATCCAACCCCTCCCTTCGAACAAAGCATGCCTTCGAGGAGGTTTGCCTCCTTTTTATTTTGGAGTTCTTTGTTCGACATTTGAGGATTTACCAATCTGGCACAACTAAATTTAAGGTATGGCTCTGATTCAATGTTAGACGAACATGACTCTCCACAATGGTATGATATTATCTACTTTGAGCATAAGCTCTCGTGGTTTTGGTTTAGGCTTCCCCAAAAGACCTCATAGCAATGGAGAGAGTATTCTTTATTTATAAATACATAGACGTTCATCATCCACCCCTCATAAAATTTTATATAGCATTAACTTCATTTATATTTATAAAAAAATATTCAAAAAAAATTTATATTCATTATATGGACGAAGACGTGTATCAACACCTCATAAATTATTTACTAATTTTTTTAATATTTTTCTAATCGTAATGAGTTTAAAAGATATTTTTATTAATTTAATTTTTTATTAGATAAAAAAAATATTTTGTGAAGGGGTCACTTTCTATTTTTGTACTTGAAGAAGAATATGGATTATTTTTTATTTTGAAAAAAATGAAAACTAGGATTGGAATATAGGAGCTACATTAAGCTTAGAGTAGGGCTGCCCAAATAAATCCTACACTATGCTAATTAATGACCGTCACATCCTCCTCAAATTATCATATGCCCTCTATATATATATAATTTCGAAAATTGTTAGACAACAGGAAAGTCAGGCCGGCCAACCGGGTGTCTTCACTGTTCATATTTGAAACGGTAGAAGGTAGGGATGTTCATATAACTTGAGAATCTAACTGACCCAAATCATAAAAGTTAAAAACGGATAATCCACATTGGTTGGGGAGGAGAACTAAACACTGTTTTTATAAGGGTATGAAAACCTTTCCCTATAGACTGCATTTTAAAGCCTTGAGGGGAAACCTGAGAAGAAAACCTAAAGAGAACAATATCTACTAGTGATGGGTTTACAAATGATATCAGAGCCAGACACCAGACTACGTGTCAGTGAGGAGGTAGTTCCCCGAAGGAGGTAGACATGAGGCAGTGTGCCAGTAAGGACGCTGGGCTCTAGAGGGGGGTGGTCAACGAGGAGGTAGTTTCCCGAATGAGGTAGACACGAGACGGTGTGCCAGTAAGGACGCTGGACTCCAGAGGGGGGTGGATTGTGAGAATCCCACTTTGGTTAGGGAGGAAAACGAAACACTCTTTATAAGGGTGTCTAAACCTTTTCACAACAGACATGTTTTAAAGCTTTGAGGGGAAGCCCAAAGAGGACAATATCTGGTAGCAGTGAGCCTGTGTCGTTACATTTTCAGTTTGGGTTGATTTGTGTTTGCACGTCAACATTTCTAACTAACCCGTCGGTTCAAAGGTCAACATTTGTGGCTGATATTAGTGATGTTCCGTGAATTTCTAAATATTTAATATTTGAATTTTATGAGATTTTAATTATTGATATAACATGTATAACCAATTTAACTCTAAAATATAGAGCTTGGTTGCGAACTCTATTCTGGTTATTCAGATCACCAACCTATCTAACTGAAAATTTCGGGTAGGTTAAAAGATTTCTCCAACTCTACACCGGTGTACATCCTGAGTAGAGAGCAGTTTCTGACCTTCCAATTTAACAAGAGATCGACTTTATTTTTTGGATCGATGAAAATTTGAAAATTTAACTTAATATTTAATTTTTTATAAGCTTAAATGATTTTTTTTTTCCGTTTATGATATAGTTAAGCTTTACAAATTGTTGAAAATTATACTAATTGTCGCCTATATTAGATAAATATATAATATCTTGCTAAGTTTGAATAAGAAAAATGGAGATAAACGAATGGGATGTTACAAATAGTATTGTAACGGTACCTCTTCTAGTAAGATATGGTTCGAGGATGTACAAATGTGGAAGTTGATGGGCATGTGATACCCGAGTAAATGAGAGGTACATGAATGAATCGATATTACATTTAAATGAGAGCGATACTAAGGATAACATGGCTAAGAAATACTTAAAAGATTTGTAAGTTATTATCTATACCAACAAAATGCACCTCTTTTCTCGGTTGCTCGATTATAGAAACTTCATAGTTAACGTGTTTTAGTTGAAATAATTTTATGTTGCAAAATTGATAAAATTATTTTAAAATATTTTTATCAAAAAAAAATATAATCGTGATGTGAGAACTCTTAGATGAGAACTCGGATGAGCTAAAAGCTGGTACGAAAGGACTAAATTGGACCAACCTATGATGTACGAGTTATTATGTCAATGACATCGTCAGACAACTAATTAATTAGTATGGAAGAATTATAGTCCCACAAGAAAACCGAAGAAAGTCAACATATTCCAGCAATTTGTAGTCGGTCTTCCTACCTCTACCCAAATATTTGTATTAAAAAAAAAATACAGAGGTGACGACAGAGGAAACATGTAACAACCCAAACTCACCACTAACAGATATTGTTTGCTTTACCCTATATCGCTGTCAGCCTCACCCTTACGAAGAATGTTTTGTTTCTCTCTCCAACCATTGTGAAAGCTCACAATTTGCTCCCAAGGACACACCGCTCGGTGTCTGGCTCTGATACATTTCTAATAGTCAAAACTCACCACTAGCAGATGTTGTCCCTTTGGCCCGTTACGTTTACGATTTTAAAACAAATCTACTAGGGTGAGGTTTCCACACTTTTATAAAAAATGCTTCGCTCCCCTCTCCAATAGACGTTACAATCCCCGTTTCTTTTTCTTATTTCTAATTTTTGTTTTTTTTTTTTAATTTTATTTCTCATCTCCTTTTATTGAACAACATTAAAAAAAAAAAAAAAAAAAAAAAAAAAAAAAAAAAAAAAAAAAAAAAAAAAAAAAAAAAAAAAAACTTTATTTTATTTTATCTAAGATATTGAAATTTTTTGTATTTATTTATTCATATTTGGCCCAACTTTCATTGCTTGATTTAAAAAAATAATAATAAATAATAATAATAATAAAAGAGATAATAAAAATAATTATGCATGTCATCCATAGATTATTTATTTAAGATTTGAATATAAATTATAAAAAAAAAAAAAAAAGATTATTGAGACAGTTCCAAGAAAGAGAATAATATTTAAAACCTAATTCCACCACTAAATTTCAATATGCTCTCTACATTACGTCATCAATCTGCCAAATATGACTTTTTTCCTCAAATTATTTTTTATTTTAGCTTCCACCCATTTTCCTTCTTCATGTTCATCCCACTTTATTTTATTTTATTTTATTTTATTTTATTTTATTTTATTTTTAAATATAAAAAAATTTATGGAACTAAAACGTGCAGTTTTTCTCTATGTTAGTTTATATGTTGTCTAATTAATGAGTTTTATATTCTAAATTGAAATGATCATACGTGTGCCCTCTTTTTCCTTAGGATGTATGGACATTCTGGGCAGGTTGCAATAGATCGTTGGTCAGTAATTCATCAGTGTGAGATCTTACCATGGTTGGAGAAGGGAACGAAACATTTTTTATAAGTGTGTGGAAACATTTCCTTAGTAGACGCCTTTTAAAACCGTAAGGTTGACGATGATACGTAATGGGTCAAAACGGATGTGTGCCTTTTAAAACGGTGGACTTGGGCTGTTACAAAAGGTATCAGAGCCAAACATTAGGATGTGTGCTAGTGAGGACGTTGGCCCCTAAGGAGGTAGATTATGAGATCTCGCATTGGTTGGAGAGATGTTGGTTGGAGAGGTGAACGAAGAATTTCTTATAAAGGTGTGAAAACCTCTCCCTAGTAGATGCGGTTTAAAATCGTGAAACTGACGACGTTACATAATGGTCTAAAGTGGACAATATGTATTAGCAGTGGGCTTGAGTTGTGTTACAAAAGGTATCAGAGTTAGATACTAGGTGGTGTGCCAGTGCGAACACTGGCACTTAAGGGAGTGGAATGTGAGATCTCACATTGGTTGGAGATGAATGAGGAATTCCTTACAAGGGTGTGAAAATCTCTCCCTAGTAGACGCGTTTTAAAACCATGAAGCTGATGACAATACGTAATGGGTCAAAACGGATAATATCTGCTAGCGATGGACTTGACTGTTACAAAAGGTATCAAAGTCAGACATTAGGCGGTGTGCCAGCAATGATGCTGGCCCCTAAGGAGGTAGATTGTGAGATCTCAGATTGGTTGAAGAGGTGAACGAAGAATTCCTTACAAGGGTGTGAAAATCTCTTCCTAGTAGATACATTTTAAAATCATGAGGCTAACGATGGTACATAATGGACCAAAGCAGACAATATCTACCAACAGTATGCTTGAGCTGTTACAATCACCATTTTGCCTAAATCCCTATGTTGGGGCTCGACTTTGAAACCGTACACGAGCTGCCTCATACTACTCTTAAAAACTCAAAGCCCCCTCTATTTTTCGAGAGTAAAAATCCGAATTTTCCTCTTTGGGATTCAAAATAAGAACATTTCCAATCAAAATCCAAACATCATAATTGATTACTTTTGTTTGCAATACATTTTGTCTGGTCTCAACTTGTTGAAGGAAGAGAAAAGTTCATTTAATTTGTAGACAAAAGTAAGTGGGGATAAGATTAATCTCCATTTGTTCTTTGTCAACACAAAGACCTTCCCTTCATTAACCCTAATTATTAATAATCCTTTGACAAATTCCCCCCTTTTTATATCATTAATAACGCAGCTACCTGGAAGGGCTGCATTTTAAAATTTTGAACTTTATCCTATAAATCAAGCCTCGGTTCGATTCTTCCTTCGGACTAAAATAAATCCATTTATGGAGGGCATGAAGAAAAAATGGAGTAAGTATCTGGGTTTGGTCCGGAGCCGATCGGTGACCGGAAAACCCGCCGTTGCGGCGGAGGAGGTAACGAGAAGGAGCAAATCTTTGAACAGTGGCTCGAAATTCAGGACTCCGGTGGCTCCGGACGGTTGCTTTTCGGTGTACGTTGGACCGGAGAGGCGGCGGTTTGTGGTGAAGACGAAATTTGCGAACCATCCGTTGTTTCAGATGCTTCTTGAAGATGCTGAGATGGAATATGGGTATAATAGTCAAGGTCCGATTTGTCTTCCTTGTGAAGTGGGGATGTTTTATGATGTGTTGGCGGAGATGGACGGCGGAGATGGACTGAGCAACCGGTGGACTGGCGGGGAAGGTGGTGGTTTAATTGCTTGTAGCCCACTTAGGTTGACCATGTGCGGCAGTAGACATAGTGGGTATAGGCAGCTGAGTTCGTAGGGGAGGTTGAGGCTTGAAATTGATACTAAACTCATCAGTAACCGCTGATTTCTTGATACCCATTGTTTGTATTGGTTTGTTTCCATGGCATATAATACAAAAAGATAAACTTTTTAGGCGATTCATACCCATTTTGTTTATTTGATATTTGTATCTAATAAGTTTTAACTTACTAGACACTAAATTGAAAGTTATTGCTTGTAACACGTGAGTAAAGGAAAGGTACATGAATGAATCTAGACCACATTTGAATGAGAACGGTTTTGAAGATAGAATGACTAAGAACGACTTAAAAGAATTAAAAGTCACCATATATGCCAATAAGGTGCACGTTCCTTTTCGATGGCTCAGTCATAGAAACTCTAGCAATTTTATGTTGGGTGATCTTCTGATTTTCCTAAGACATATGTGAGTGAGAACAAAACATGTTGAAATAACTCGTGTTGGTCTATGGGGATAGTTTTCATTGTTAGAAGTGAGGAATGAGTAACGTGATCATGTTGTAGGGGAATGTCAAGGCCATCCAGATTTTGAATCATGGGGATAGTCTTCACTCTTATTAGTGAGGAATGAGTAACGAATGTTAGGGCCATACAGATTCTGAATCCTAGGTATAGTGTTCACTCTTAGAAGTGATGAATGAGTAGCGTGATCATGTCGTAAGGGAATGTCGGGGCCATCCAGATTTTGAATCCTGGGGATAGTCTTCACTCTTAAAAGCGAGGAATGAGTAATATGATCATGTCGTAGGGGAATGTCGAGACCATCCAGATTTCGAATCCTGGGGAGAGTCTTCACCCTTAAAAGTGAGGCATGAGTAACGTGATCATGTCGTAGGGGAATGTCGAGACCATTTGGATTCCGAATCTTGGGGATAGTCCTCACTCTTAAAAGCGATGAATAAGTAACCGATCATGTTGTAGGGGAATGTCGAGACCCTCAAGATTCCAAATTCTCGAGATAGTCTTTGATTATATCACAGGGAATGGAGAAAAATGTGAGAGCTATCCAAATTTCAAATTCTCGAGAATAACTAATTAGAATGGCGGTTTCAAAAAATATATATAATAAAAGGAAGAAAATAAAACTATAGATTATAATATATTTGATATTAGTATAGTCTTTCCAAACATAATTATCAGTTTAAATTATTTATTAAAAAAAATTGATCTCGAGTTAGAATAAACTAATAGAGGAAATTATCGAGACAATATTTATATATTTATTTATTTATTTTAAAATGGTTATCGATCATTAAATTTTTGTTCTTCTGGAAAAAAAATAATTATATTTAAAAACAACTTTCAAAATATTCTTGATATATTTTAATATTAGTATACTATATATTATATCCATAATGTATTTTTCTTACCTATGCTATTCAATAATATCTTATGGATAATACATGGTAGCGTGACTAAAAAATTAATGTAGTTATTACATTTCTAGCTCATGCCTAACATTAGTAATATTAATTATCATATCATGTCTATATGATAATGATTAAAATGAAAATGTTGCGTGTAAGTGTTGGATTGTGGGGTGCACTTGACAATTTTGAAGCTACCATCCTATGATTTATCTTGTCCTATTCCGCCGACAATACGAGCAAATTAATGAACACGATAGCATCTAATTGCCCTATTGTCACAAATCGTCGATATATGTTCTCACATTGGCCTGGTCACTAAGCCTTTTTTGGCTCATACTTGGTCTAACCTTGATGTAGATCTATGTTGAATTATCGAAGTTTCTAATGTTTCAAGCAAAAAGTCAAGGTTGAGTTGTCGAGAATCCTAATGATCCATTTCCTTTTGTTAAATAAATTTAGGGTTGATGTCACGTGAAAATTTAGTGCGTTTATACTGTTTGAATTTCGTCAACAATAGTTTGTATTGTCTATAGACAAAAATTCTTGCAAAAATGTATATCACACGAAAAGATGAGTAAGAGGATGATTTTTTTTTTTTTTCAACTTGTTCCCACTTTCTTCTAATGATGAAGTCACGTGAATCCGTTTCAAAACCTTGAGGGGACGCGCTGAAGGGAAAGCCCAAATAGGGTAATATTTGTTGACGGTGGGCTTGGGCCATCACAAATGGTATCAAAGTCAGACACTAGGCAGTGTACCAGCGAGGATGCTGGCTCACAAGGGGGTGGATTGTAAAATCTCGCTGGCTCACAAGGGGGTAGATTGTAAGATCCCGTTGGAGAAGGAAACAAAACATTTCTTATAAGAGTGTAAAAACCTCCCCATGCAGACTCGTTTTAATATCTTTAGGAAAAGCTTGGAAGGGAAAACCCTATAAGGGTGTGGAAACCTCTACCTAACAGACGTGTTTTAAAAACTTGAGTAGAAGCTCTGAAGGGAAAGCTCAAAGAGGACAATATCTGCTAAGGAGGGTTCGAGTACTATCATCCACAAGGGCCTTAAGGGAATGCTCGCAAAGGAAATCCCAAAGAGGACAATATAAGTTTGAAAGAGAAAGTCTAAATAAGACAATATCAGCTGGGGAGGGTCCGAGTTCCAGAATTAAAAACAGAACTTCAAAGTTTTCAAAATTTTCATTCCAACGATGATACATCGTCCCTGCATCATCCAAAGGAGGGCGAATCCCGAGACGAATTCAAACATTGAATTGAAAATCATATGTTGAGAACTAGGTCACAGGTTCGCAACGGACCAACCTCCATTGGTTGAAGCCAAGCCTATTTACTACAAAACAACTTGAATCAAATCATGCTCGTAGCCTTACAAAGGAGGACAAAATCAACTAGCTCTTTGACCGAGACGGAGAGGTCAAGACCAACCAAAGGTTAACCCTACCAAAGAACTCGAGTCTATCCCGCTCGCATCAAGCACAAGTGGATGATATCAAAACTAAGCTAGAAGTGACAAAACAATCATATTATTAGTTTCCTAGGGACTAATACAACCCTATCTGCCTTGGCATATGAAGACATGATAGAACTCAGGCCATTTAGAGCCACAATTCTCGGGATCGAACAGATTCAGGATAAAACCATGTCTTCAACCCAATGAGCTCAAGCAACCTCTTCCCAAAACCATCGGTCGAGGAAGAACCAGTCATACCAATCAAGTAATTAACCCACTCCACCAACTCCGGCCACAACGTCTTATAATAAAACGCCATCCTCATCCACCTTGGCTCGGTCGCGTACCGGTCTCCTCTACATGCGCTCCTCACGATCCCCTTCACCGCGCTTTCGATCGGCATAATCGGCATTGCGCTCACCATAGCCTAACAAGTACCAACCCACATTGTTAAAACATAATTCCCCAACAAAAAAAATCTGAGCTTTTTTCGCCCTTAAAGCTTACATCTCTGAGCTCTTGATCGAGATACAACCCACCGTCTTTCGACATGAACTTTCCTTGAGTCATCTCCGATTCAACAAGCCCCGGCGTCACGATGGTGATTCCGATATCTCTTCCGACTTCTACTCGTAGCGTCTCGTAGAAGCTTATCACTGCTGCTTTGCTTGCCTTCAACAACATTGAAATGTATTCATTATATGTTTTCATTTATATTATTAACGTAAAATGTTGTTGTGAATCTTACGCTGTAAAAGCTTAGCCTTGGCACCGGCAGCCATGCGGCGGAGGAAGAGATTCCGATGATCTTTCCTCTGCTTTGCTTGAGGTGGGGAATTGCAAAGTAAGTACAATAAACCATTCCCCAGAAGTTTACGTCCTGCATCAAATTTCAGTAAATCTTGTTGAACCTCGCCACAATATTGGAGAATGATCTGAAATTTTAAGGTTATTACTTACCATTATCGGGGCGGCATTGTCGTGGTTGTCGTATTCTTCGAAGAGGTTGATGCTCGAGACCCCCGCATTGTTTACCAGATGATCCACTGTAGAGAAGTACATTCACGAGAGTTTATACCCAAAGTGAATACTATTATACTATTTAAGAAATGATATCAGAGTCTATGTCATGTCGTTTCTTGTCGCTATCCAGTGATATGAAAATCATGCTGTTAAGCTAGCCATGTCGATAGAATTTTGAGGTCGAACAAAAGAGATGGATAAATGACTATTTAAGCATTTTCACGAGCATAAGCTCAAAGTAGACCTGAGATCTCATATCAGTTCGAAATAGGAACGAAACATTTCTTATAAGAATGTGGAAACTTTTCCCTAACAAACATGTTTTAAAACTGTTATGTTGACGATGATACGTAATGGGCCAAGACGAGCAATATCTACTAGAGGTGTGCTTGAGCTGTTACAAATGGTATCAGAGATGACAACGAGCGGTGTGCCAGCGAGGACGCTGGCCCCCAAGGGGGTAGATCATGAGATCACAGTTCGGTTGGAGAGGAAAACAAAAAACATTTCTTATAAGAGTGTAGAAAACTCTCCTAAAAGACGCGTTTCAAAACCATGAGGCTGACAGCGATACGTAACAAACCAAAGTGGACAACATCTGCTAGCGGTGAGCTTGAATGAATACAAATGGTATCAAAGTCAGACATCGAGCAATATGTCAACGAGAACGCTAGACCCCAACAGAGTGGATTGTGAGATCTCACATCGGTTAGAGAGGGAAACAAAACATTTCTTATAAAGGGTGAAGACCTCTCCCTAACAAACCAGACACGTTATGAGAGAATACGTAACAGACCAATCGACAATATCTAGTAATTATGGGTTTTGGTTGTTATAAAATATTGTCTTTGGCCTCTTATAAATAGTATAAGAGCTAGACATCTATCACTGTGCCAGCAAGGATATTAGCCCGAATGGAATGGAAATGAAACATTCTTTATAAGTGCGTGAAAATTTATCCCTAACATACGCGTTTAGGTAATGACTTACATCGTCCAAAGACGTCAACCGTGGTTTGAATACATCGTTTACAATCATCAATCCTTGAAATATCAGCAGGAATTACAAGAGCAAAGGGCGAGCCAAAGAACCTCGCCACGCCGGCGACTTCACGGAGGCGGTTCTCTCTTCTAGCAACCAACGCCAAATAAGCACCTCTTTTAGCATACTCATACGCCATATGCTTCAAAAATCAAAACCCCACAACCAAAATCAACAAAACCAAATGGATTAAATCAATTCAAAACGTTCATTTAATTGTTCGTTAACCTTGCCAATTCCCGACGATGCTCCGGTGATTAGAACAACTTTTCCGGCGACATTTTCGCTGAAAATTGATCGGAATATGAACGAGAGAAACTTGAAGAACAGGTAGGTTGGCAGGAAGAAGATGAAGGCTATTAGAGATGTAAAGGGAAGAACAAAATTTAGGACATTGTTGAGGAAATCCATGGGGTTTTGTGGGATTTCAGTGAAATGGAGTGGCAAAGAGGTGGGGTTTAAATCAAATGGAGACCAAACAATGTGATATCACGTAGCACAATTGCATGCAAAATAATCAACACGTATGCTATGATTTAAACCCAAGTAACACTCCAACTCCAGCTAACAGATACTGTCCATTTTAACCCGTTCCGTATCGTCATTGCCCGTCTCATGGGTTTAGAAAGGTGAGATTTACACACTCTTGTAAAGAATGCTAGGAAGAAATTTTGCCTAATGACGTATTGTTTCACAGTTTTAAAGAAGTGAAGTTTTCATACTTTCATAAGAAATTATTCTCGTTGGCACATAACCTGTCTAGCTTTGTACCATTGTAACAGCTCAAGTGCATCGCTCCGCTAATAGATATTGTCCGTATTTACTTATTACGTATCGACGTGAGCCTCACGATTTTAAAATGCTTCTATCAGATAGGTTTCCCCACCTTTATAAAAAAAATGTTTTGTTTGCTTGTGGAATCTCACATTTGTTATAAACTTAAATAGATATATTTAAACTTATTTTAACATCGGTTGCTTTTGATTAAAAAAAAACAGCCTCAAGTTCGACAGAGTGATCACTAAAATCAAGGCCCGGGATGAAGGTGTCAAATTCAGAAGCTCTAGTGGCCGATATAGTCAATATCCAATACAACCACCCTCGACAAAAAAAAAAAAAAAAAAAAAAAAAAAAAAAAAAAAAAAAAAAAAATCAAGACAAGTAGGTAATGTTGTTAGAGCACCGAAAAATTCAGAGTAATGATTTCCAGCCAAATGAGGGAAGATCTTCACATTCGATTCAAAGAGCGGAGATATAGTGATTTGAATATTGGTGCAACGGCCTATGCCAACTGGTAACAGATATTGTCTTTTTTGGGCTTTCGTTTTCGAACATCCCATCAATATTTTAAAACGTGTCAGTTGGGCAAAAGATTTTCACACGGTTATAAAGGGTATTTCATTATCCTCTCTACCCATTGTGGGATTGTGGGATCTCACAATTGGACTCGAAGCCTTATATTACATCCACAACCGTACATCACATACCTATGTCCCCGACATTCTCCCACACCACCGCCTTACACCTCCGTCATCTCCATCGGTACCAACCTAATAGGATTGATTCATATTTACAAATACAGTAACAATTATCCCTCTGTTCTTCAATTTGTCCTAAACTTGGCAAGACGACAATGATATCCTTATCGTCTCTGTTTTCAGAACTTCTCTTCCACGACCCCATATCGCCATTGACACGATTCATCTATGATCGTTACGTGCGTGTCTCCATTCCATAGCTATCCCACAGCTGGTCATACAGAAAGCGAGCGTTCGATTTGTCGTTTTACAGAAACGGCGAAGTTTTCCGGCGAGGAAGAACACTAATCGGCGGTCACCGGAAGGTGTCAAAAAAACAGAGCACTCTTCAAACGCTTCCAACTTAAGCTCATTAAACAAAACTAAAGCTTTAATTACGTAAATTACAAAGATTTAAAGACTTTAAAGGCCTCATAATCATTCGTAGCTACAGAGGAACTGGCAAGTAAGCTGCAGAAAAACAGAGGTTTAACGGCCAGAGATTTTAAATTAGTCGTCGTTGATCTTGACGGAGTGAATGGAAGGAGGATACATGGCCGTCTTGGCTCCGGTGAGATCCAGAATCTGTTTATTGAGCGCCTCCGCGGCGGAGGTTCCCGGCGTTGTATACACCAATATACGGTAGCACCACTCCACCACCTCCGGGCAAAACGCCTTTAAGTAATACGCAGCGTTGTACCACGACGGCTCCGTCAAGTACCGATCACCCCGGCAGGCGCTCCTCACGATTGCCTTAGCGCAGGCCGCCGCCGTATCTACCGGAATCGCCCCCACCAGAGCCTGCCACCATTAATGATCATAATGATCGGCGTTAAAATCCAAGAAAAAAAAAACAGAGGAATTCTTTACATCTCTAACGTCCTGATGAACTTCCATTCTCCCGTGAGAATACAACGCCTTCCCCTGAGTTATCTCCGACTCAACAAAGCCGGGCGTCACGACGGTGATCCCAATCTCCGGCGACATTTCCACTCTCAACGTCTCAAAAAAACTCCTCAGCGCCGCCTTGCTCGCCTGAAAAAAAAAAAGCCCAAATCAAATAACTCAATGAAAACACATAATCCCACATGGGTTTTAAGTAAAAACTCAATCTTGCATTGTAAATGCTCATTCTGGGTGACGGCAACCACGCCGCCGCCGATGAAACCACTATGATCTTCCCTCTCCTGTTCTTCAAATACGGAATTGATAGCCAAGTCATATAAACAGACCCCCAATAGTTCGTTTCCTGCAAAATCCAAGGCCAAATTCAGCTCAAATTCATGGTGTTCTTACCAAATTTAAGCCATTTTTACCATTATTTGTTTGAAGGAAGTGATATCATTGATTTCTTCAAACAGAGTCATGTTGACAATGCCGGCATTGTTCACCAAATGATCCACTGCATCCATTACAGAATTCATCATAAACAATCCAATCCAACCGATTTGAATTTCTTCTTCTGATTCAAGCTTACATCTTCCGAAATGATTCATCGTGTCGTCGATGATTCGCCGACAGTCCGACAGCTCGGAGACATCTCCTGCAATGGTGATAACCTCAGGGGAGCCATAATAGCGAGCTGCTTCAGCAGCTTCCTCAAGTGATCTCTCTCGTCTAGCTACAAGCGCTAATTGAGCTCCTCTCTTGGCATACTCATATGCCAAATTCTGCCATTTAAACACCAAATCAGAAACCATTAATATCCAAACCTGTTAGATTCTTCTCTGTTAACTACCTCACCGATGCCGGAGGAAGCTCCGGTGATCAGAACGACTTTCCCGGTGACATCTTCGCTAAACAAACCTCTAACCAATGAGAAGAAGTACTTGAAAACCACGTAAAGCGGCAGTAATAGGCCGAGAGAGACGACGGTGAACGGCGGAGCTACTAAATTCAAGAAGCTCTGAATCAGCTCCATTCTAAAGGACTAGAAACAGAGATAACAAACAAAAGAAAACAAAACAAGATCATTCATTTCAGATCATTTTATAATTGGAATTTTTGTTTTTTACAAGAAAAACAGAGCATCGTGGCATTTTCCAAACAGCATGAGCTACACACGTTCTGTTCATATTCAAATTCCCCTGTTTCTGTAACATTTTCAGCCATTGACACGATTCGCCAAAGATTTAAAACCTTTCTTTCTATATTTGTTCTTCGTCGTCTTCAATTCACAACAAAAACAGAGTATCGTAGCTTCAATTTCTCTCTGCATATTCACTCTAGCAATGAAATCATCGGCTCTTTTACTCAAATCCTCACAATTCTCCAAACCCATCTCCCATTCATCATGATCATGACAAATCTTCAAATCCCTGTTTTCATCTCCTCCGACAATCAAAGTTCCATCATAAAAACAGAGATTATCAGCAAAAAGATCCGAACTTTTTGAAGAAAAAACTTTGGATTCTCCGATGAGAACGACGACGATCAGATTTCCGATGATGAAAACGGAAGTGGGTGTGGGGAAATTTATTGAGTAATTGGATAATGGAAGGACCCATAAGAGGATGAAAAACAGAGCAGCGAGATAACAGAGGATGTTCGTAATCATTGAAGGTCTTGTTTTGATGTTTGTAAGAGCCATTGTTAATGGGATTTTGGAGCTTAAGGCTTCCATATCATGGAGAAAAATTTGGAGATACCATCAAATTTATGAAGAATTTGAGCAAAGTGATTAGTGATTAGTGATTAGTGATTATCTCTAAGTATGATTAATTAAATAAATCACAAGCATGCGTCCCACTTTACCTAATTTTTTTAAAAAAGATATTTGAAAGCAACTTTTTTCTTCCCTAAACTATAAGTAATGGAAATTGGAGGTAGTTGTTAAAGTAATGGTCGTTACTTAAATTCGATGGTTTTGTCATTTAAAAAAGGAATGAAAGAATGATAAATGATATGTTCGAGGTATCCTTCGAACCTCTAGTTTGGTGTCTTGGTTGTTGTACTTTGAATGTGTGCTCGAGGAGCTAAACAGTGTTCCTTGACTTGAGTTTGGTCTATAGTTAGTGGAGTGGTAAAGGTGGTGCGACGTCGAGGCATGAGGAGCGATGTTGACCGAGGTTCAAAGTTGTTGGTGTGTCGTATGAGAATGTTTTGTGCAAGGGGCTCACGATGACTTGGGGAAAAAGGAAGGAAGAAGAAGAGAGACTAGGCGCGATGGTGACAATGGTAGTGTTTCCTCCTAGTGTTGCGTGTTGATGTATGAGGAAGATGCAACTAGGGCTCGACTATAGTCAAATAGTCAAGCCCCTTGAATTTTTTTAAGAACTAAACATTACAGTGCACACGTGACTTGAGCAAACGAGGGATATATAAATGAACAAAAACTACATCCAAACGAGAGTGATCTTAGGATTACGATGGTTAAGAAAGACTTAAAAGAACTAAAAGTTACTACTTGTACCAACAAGGTTTACTTTCATTTTCGGTGACTCAAGTTCACTATCTTAGGTGACCTCCTAAATTTGTTTTTTTTTCCTAAGAAACATGTTGGTGAGAACAAAACATGCTAAAATGGCTCGTGTTAGTTTGTAGGGATAGTATTCACGCTCAAAAGCACTTCATGACAGGTAGGAAACGTAACTATGTCGTAGGGGAGGTACAGGAATACCGGAGCCATTAAGTGTCGAATATGAGTTCCAAATCTCAATTCGAATCACCGAAACGAGCCATTACGAAGTGACAAAAACCCATTTGTCAGAACACTTTAAAATATTAAAAGTATGCGTATCTGCGTAAGTATTACGTAAAAAAATTAAAAAAGAAAGTGACCCATATGGCTTACTACTCTTTTCATCTTTCCACCATTTGATTACAAGGGTTTCCATCCAAGTTGGAGGTAAAGCTTTACATATCAAATTCAACTTTATAAATGGAATGTTCATATGCATATTTAAGTGATCCACCAATTAAGAAAGAGGGAAGCTTTATATATATTTATACAAAGAGAGACAAGATATAAAGTTATGTTCTTTCCTTTCCAAAAAAACATGTCTTCTTTATTATGCTCGAGATGCAAAGATTGTCCCACGAACCAAAATATTGGGTGTTATTAGTTTGTGGGAGTTGGTTTTCATAATAATAGTAGGGGTGATTATCGGCTCGTGTTAGCAAATAGAGACTGAAGCTGACCTCCAATAAATTGGGTTTCTTCAGTTTGAGAATGGGTGGTTACACCGACCTCTTGAAAAGGCCATTAGTAGGTTTCCTTTAACACGAACAATTAAGCTTATCATTTAACCTAAATAAAACGACTCTGGTTGAATCATCTAACCTCTAGGTCAATATTATATGTTTTAACTAATTGAGCTAGTTGACTAAGCATGAAGATCCATGCTGATGTCATGATCAATCTTATCCAAAACATGTTAGTTGTGGTTGTATGTCTGATGTTTAGGGTTTAGGGTTTACCAAACATATTTGTCTAGGACATACTGTCCAAATGGAACAAATAGAGATAAAATCAGACTGATTGACTTATTTATGTCATGTCAATATGTCAAACAGGACCTAAACAAATTATAATTAATAATTTTTCGATACAAAATAAAAAATCATTCAATTTTCTTACTCAATTTTAAATTATTATTGATTCATTTTTAAAAAGAAAAACAAAAAAAGATTAAGAAACAAAGATATTTAAAAAAGCTTCTCTTTTTTAAAACACACAAATTCAAAATTTGCTTTTAGTAAAGCTATGATTTCCACGTTCCCACAAACAAATATATATATATATATATATATATATATATATATATATATATATATATATATATATATATATTAGTTAAATAAAACGCACTAACTAAATATTTTTTTAATTTCATTTAATGATTTAAGCTTTTTATTATTATTTAATTATTCAGATTTAAATACTTGAAAAAAAATTAGTATATAAATTAAAATAAAAAGGATAAGATTTTAAAAAATAAAACAATAATTTTCTTAAATTTCACCCATTAATACAATTTTCAATTTGAAGTAAAAAATCACAATTTTTTTTAAAAAAATATTATTTAATTTAATAAGTTAGTATAGTTTCATTTATTTTAAAATAATCATGATAATATTATTTACTTTATTTTTAAAAATTGATATTTTCGTAAAACCTCATTTGTTCTTATTTAGTGGACTTTTCTTCTTAGTTTGGGCCTGAACCCGACATATTTGAAAGATTGTGCTGGGCTTGGCCCAACACTCAACAACTTCGCAATATCATTGCGGCCCAATCAGCAATGCCCTTTCCTAGAATTTTATTTATTTATTTATTTATTATTATATTGGAAATATTCAAATCTTTGTTAATTTTAAAATAAATTATTTATACGTATATTTATTTAATTTCATTTATTATCGAGCTACTCTTAAGAATAATTTAAATTATTTGAATGGTAATTTTTTAAAATATATACTAACGTTTCATAAATTAACATTTTACTTTTATTAAAACGAAAAAATAAATAAATCACTTGAATAACTCAAACTAACCCAACTCATAAAAGATTATGGTCCGTTTGAGTTCGGTCTGGTTTATTATTTAATAATGATTGTCTGGATTGAAAATTTTACAACTTAGGCACTTGGGTTAGGTCGAAAAAATGCAGCAACCGGACCCAACCTAACCTGTGAACACTCCTATCTCACAACTTAGGCACTTGGGTTAGGTCGAAAAAATGCAGCAATCGGACCCAACCTAACCTGTGAACACTCCTATCTCGATTAGACAAAACTCTAACACTTAAACTGACTAAACTTATAATTTAACGGGAAATTGACGAATTTGGAGCATCCCTAGCACTCAACCAAACACACTAGGGTTGGTCAAAAGTGGATTAATGAAAGGAATTGAAACTTAAGTTAATGTGTTAATTAAGGTATAATTAATTCTTGGGTTTAAAGGCAATGCTCTTCTGTCATTCTTGTTCAAAACCTTACCTTAAAGAACACAATGGTCCATCAATCATTGACTACTCACCTTTATATGCATTATTATTATTATTATTATTATTATTATTATTATTCTCATGCATGTTATGTTATATAATCAATGCTAAAGTTCTTCAATTCTTTATTTGAACACAAACACAAGTCCCTCAATGCCCTTCCATGATTTAAGAAGGCATTTTGGCTCGTTACATGTCGTCGTCACCCTCACTGTTTTAAAACGTGTCTATTACAGAGAGGTTCCACACCCTTACAAGAAATGTTTGTTTCCCTCTCTCCAACCGACGTGGGATCTCACAATCCACCCTTTGGTGTCCAGTGTTCTCGCTGTCACACCGCCCAATGTCCATCGATTGGAGAGGGGAACAAAACATTTCTTATAAGGGTGTGGAAAACTCTCCCTAATAGACGTGTTTTAAAATTGTGAAACTGACGGCGATACATAACAAGTCAAAGTGAACAATAATAAACCACGTGAGTCTTTAGTGCAACGGTTCCTTTTTATTTCCTTTTTTCCTTTTGTAGTCAAAAAGTAACTCATGAGCTTAAAAAAAAAACTCCAATAATGTAAAATTTTCTTATTATATATATATAAGTACAAATAGAATATTGAATTGGGTATATATTTATAAATTTACATTATTTAACAAAATTATTATTCGAACTAAATCATATAAAAAAAAAAACTATAATTAATCAATTATATTTTGTTGTTATGTCTTATCATTAAAAAGTTATAAAATTATAATTAATTCCAAAATTAGCAAATAAAATAAATAAATAAATAAATATTATAAATTTTTAAGCCGCCGTTGCGAGTCGGTGCGTGCAAACTGCTAAGGACAGGCATGTTATTTATACCATAAACAAAAAGAGAAAAAGAATATTTATTTTTTTATTAAAAAAATGGATATTTTTTTAACTTAAAAAAGAGAGGTGGTCACGTGGGTTATATATATATATATGAGAATATTTTTAAACTTTCCACTT